ATCTCTTGTGTGTTTTTTTAATGTCTAGAACTATATATCAAAATCTAGTCATAGTCAAAATAGCTAACTTAGATATCCACCTATTGCTGAGAAGCCCATTTATTTTTCCTTCTAGTGGGCAAAAGGTGAAGAAGTCAGGTTGGTTGAGGGAAGAGAAGCAAGCTCTAAGAGACGCTATTCAGTAATAAAACAGATGTGGAGTTGTGTATTTGTATTTTAAGTGTGGTTTTCACTCCTGCAAGGTTTTTCTCTATGTGCTTCTTTTTCCTCCAAAGCTTACCTTCCATCTTATAATGACAAAGTCAGCAATACTAATGGGCAATTCTTTACAAAGTAGATTGTAAACATATGGAACTTATTACCTTAAGTGGGAACAAAGGCTGTAACAAAGAGGGTCAAGAAACATTTAGCAAAATTCATAGACAATAGATCCATACTAGGTTGTTAAGGGAAAATGAGATGTTGCTTTCACCCACAAAACTTCTAGAAAGAATAGTCCATACTCTAGAAACACAAAAAAGAGAGGTGAGGGATTGGGGGAAGTTACTCTAACTCCTGTGCTGCGTAGGCATACTATTCCTGTCTCTCTTACAGCACATATAAGATTGCATTGTAATTTGATCACATGGTTTACATTCATGTTTTCCCAAACAGTATGTGAGCTCCTCAAGGCAAGTGCTCTGTTAAGTTTTGTATTCTCAGTACCTAACCCAGTCTGTGGCACCGAGGAGGCATTCAGTAAGATTGCTTCACTGTTGAATTCATATTCTATACCCCCATAGCTTCACCATCTACTCACTGTAGAATGCTTCTGCATTCTGTCTCCCAGTTCCATCACAACATTGAAAGGATGCTCTTTAAGAAATCACTAGGTTTCCAAATAGCAAATCACTGGTCATTATCCTTTTTGATTCCACCATAGGTATGTTTGTCATTGCTGACAACACCCACCTCTCCTGCTTTCTTAATACTTCCTTCTTCCTTTGATTCTAGGACAATAATATCTGTATTCTCCTCCTGCCTGCTCCATTGTTCCTTATTTATCTTCTTTGCTAGCTCTGCTTTTAGCCCCTTAGTGGAGGCATTTTCAAGGTTCTGACTTTGGTTCTCTTTTCTCTTAATAATCCTTTTAACAATTTCTTCCATGTCCACAACTATAACCAGGACAATCAAGAACCCAACCATTTTGTCATGAAATCTACACCCATATTCCAAGAACCTTCTGAACATCTTGACCTCAACGCTCTGCTACCACTTTCAGTTAAACTTGCCCCAAACAAAATTTATTTTCTACTATTACCACTCCTTTTCCTGATCTCAATAGTTTAGTAACCCAACTGTTCAACCAGCCAATCAAACTCAAAACCCTAGAGTTATCTTTGATTCTTGGCTACTCTTTTCCCCCTAAATTATCTCCTTTGACTAAGAATATGACAGTAGATTCCTAATTCATCACTTGTACTCCTGTAGATGGAATGTTCTAATGTATAATAACTTTGATCATGTTCTTCCACTGCTTAAAAATCTTCAATAGACCCCCATTGCTTAAAGAATTATATGGTAACGCTTAGTTTCTCATTCAGGCACTCCATGATATGGCACCAACCTATTTTTCCAGAATTATCTCTATACTTCTACACTTTATGTATCCTATTTTCTGACTTACTGCTCTATTGGCCATTGCTGAAAAATGCTTTGCACTTTCTTGCCTCTGTGTTTTTCTTAATGATGTTTCTTTTGACTAAAATATCCACTATTCCCACCTCCAACTCCCTCTGCTGGAATCCCTACTCATCCTTCAAAGCTTTTTTCTCCATGATTATTTTTCTGATATATTCAATAATGTGTGCTATCTCCTTCCTCTGAACTCACATAGTATGTTATTAACACCTCTGGTGTGATACCTATTATCTTCTTCCTTATTCTGTAGTCCTTCTGTACTTTTTATCTTCCCTACAACACACAGGATCTTATAACTAAAGAAATCTTATCTTCATTATTTCTGCATTTTCCATAATGGCTAACATAGTACCTTTCACAAAACAGATGTACGATAAATCTATGAATATTTAAGGGCTCATTTCCTAATCTATGAGTTTAAAATCAGCAAAGCCTGTGATCTGGGTTAATATTCAGCTAGTATGCACTAGTCCAAACAGAGTGGCTATTGATTGTGTGTATTCTGACTGGTTGGGGCCTGCGCTGTATCAGTTATTAAAACTTTCAATATTACTCTTGATATGATAATCAAACTTGAAATGTCTTTTGGTGCCCTTCATTGAAACAGCACATTCAGCTAAATGGGCCAGAGGCAATATTTGGGATCTCCTTTTGAGTTACCTAAGGTGGTGGATCTCAGAAAAGGGGCACAAGCTCAGTGTGGAAGATTTGTAATTCAGGCAACTAATCATGCCATTTATTAACATTTTGATTATCTAATGAAGAATACAGACTATCGCCTCATTTTCTCAAAATATGGAATTGAAAACATTGAATTAGAAAGACAATGGGCGATGGTAATGGAGATGGTGAGCACAGCAGTAAGCACAGCTTTGCTGTATGTGGTCCACTCTGATTTTTGAGTTTTTTGGTTATTTCTTCTCATTTTACTTAACTTAGGGAAAATAGCCTTCTGTATAATTTGGCTTTTCTGCTTTTATCTCATCATGTTGGAGTGGAGGTTATTAAAAAGTAGCAAGGATGCCAAGTGTTGAACAGAGAAAGTGTAACAATATTAAGTCCATAGGATCTTGAAAAGGAACCAAAATCAGATGCCTAAGAAAGTGAAAACAACAGGGACCAGCAGGAAAAAAATGATCTAGCTAGGTAAAGCCAAGACAAGGAGAAAATCTGTGAAAGTCCCTGGTTCTGCTGCTTCTAGAAAGAGGCAAAGACATAGGAGACGTTATGGCAAACTTATAAACTCTGTGCATTCTGTCCTCTCTCCCTCATTTCCAGCTCTTTTATTGCTGTTCAAGGTGCTTTTCCAACCATTGCCACTGTCTGCCTTTGAATTTCTTTTTACTTCCGGACATTTTCTTTGGCTGCCGCCACTTGGAATGACTGCCACAGCTAAATGGGCTGATATTTTTAACCCTATGTGTTCATGGAAGCACTCCAGCTATAAATCAAAGGAGATCCCAATTTAGATTACTTGGAATCAATACCATAGAATTATGCAGTCAGTGAATATATTCTTGGTGTTTCACAGTTGACAACACTGTATTCCCTTGAGTACCAAACTCACAGAAACCCATGGAATGATCTCTCTCCCAGTGCAGTTTTTCTAGAATCAATATGAGGTGTGAGACTAATCAGACAGGGGCTTTAGCAAATGTGTATTTTTAAAATAAACAGCCTACAAAGATTATGGCAGTTCTTTTACGGCCCAGAATAACATGCTTTTACTTATCAGCTGCTTAACAGAGAATGGATGCAAAAGTTCTTTCAGTTTGCATTTCACTGACTATTAGTACTCTGGTAGTTCGAGAAAGAACAGTGAAGGTTTTTTTTTTTTTTTTTCTGTAAGAAGTGGAAGGGGCCTCTGGTAGGATGGTAGAACGTTCTCATTTTACAGGTAAAGACTGAGGATAGGTGGGATGGCTGTCTCATAGTTATAGATTAGTAGTACTCCTAGCATTCTGCAATGCAATAGTACCTGGAAAAATAATATGAACATATAAATACAGATTTCCATTTTCTTTCCTCCAGTCTTCCACTCTTTCTGTAGGCTATCTTTAATGCATTCATACCCATAAAGCAGTCTTATACTCATTCTAACCAAAACACTTCTCCCCTCTCAACCAAATATTACCTTAGACTAATCTCCCAGGGACAATCCATGAATAGCAGAGGTGAAATGCTACCATTAATCACCAGGATTCACCCAAATGTGAAAAAGGTGAATATAACTTATTTTGTTTTCTGCCATGAATTTCAACATTGCCAAAAGCTTTCCTGGACAACTCTGTACTGGGCCCCACTTCTCTCACTGGTTTATTGAAGTACAATGGTTTTGAGAGCTACCAATTTCCATTCCAATGGCATATGATAACTTCTAGTCCAAATAGAGAATGTTTTTTGAATTGTAGGCTATTCAAGGCAAATCTTATTGACCCAAATTAAGTAATGTTTACATATTCACTATTTATTTTCCTTTTCTCATTTACTTCTCCATATAGCTTCACAGCCGATGAAGAGGACTTTTAAAATCAACATACCTAATTTCTTCCACTACTTCAAGAAAGATATGAACTAAAAACGTAAAACCTTACTTAGAGGAGGTAGACAGTTCTTCCTACTTGGATTATCCTGAGAGGACCTATTATTTACCTCAGCCATAGTGTATCAACAGAGAAGGTGGACAAGTTTCTAGTTCCACTGGAGTGAGAGAGGTTGTTTTACTTTTTTTTCTTCCCCTGAGATAAATTTTCAGAGTGTGGCTTAATCTGTTACTAATCAAATAGACACAAAAATACTTGTTCCAATGCTCTGGGATTTGAGGGTATCTCAGACTATCTGTGTCTCTCCTCCCTTTATGGGTAATGGAGAATAAACTATACTGCAGAACCAAGATGGCCTCTAGAAAGAAGCATTGTCTCTCAGCTTCCTTACCTGTGAATAGCTAGTGTGACATCTTTAGGGCCAAATACTTTTCATGATTTAATTACATGTATGGTTTTAAACTAACTTCCACCCAAACCACATGCTTATAAAATAACAATTAAAATATTTAATATTAAACACAGCGGGGGTCCTTGTTTCTGATTTTTTCTTTTTTTTTTGCAAAGTCTACAGGTATTGCAAGATTTATTTACCAAGTTGAAACTTGTAATCACATAGATGTAGAAGCCTGCTGAGATTTCACACATGAACCGAGACCAACTCTTAAAAACAAAGCCTTCATGGGGAAGTTTTTTTATCTTTCCTTTTTTGGTTGTTGTTGGTATTTGGCTCTGAACATTCACATTTTATACCATGTGAGGCGGAATGGGTTTTACCTGGATTCCTTGGAATTCGCTTTCTGCGGTCTCGGAATGCTGCACCTGATTGTAGGGCTTCTAGAAGATTATCCATCACACCAGTCTCATCACCCTCTGGAGGAAGGGAGAAATCAGAATTAATCTTGGAGCAATTAAAGTTAAACTACAGGAAAATAAAGGGAAAAACTCCTGTCAGATTTACATAATACCCCTAAATTAAAGACATATATCTGTTTTAACATAATGGATCCTGTCAGTTTCTGGCACCACAGACTGCTTTGCTTATTACGCACCATTAAGCAAAATTCATGCCAATCCCACTGTTCTTTCAACTTAAAGACCTTGTCTTTTGTATTATTGATGACACGCTCAGTATGCAAATAAACAGTAGCTGATCAGCTACTGCTGCCTTCCTGTTAAGATTCTTATAAGATATTCCTTAGCAAGAAACTACTGACCCGGCTTAATGCAATCAATGTGCAGGGCGTGATTTGATGAAGCGGAGTTACACAAGGTTAAATACTGATTATATTAATACCTTCAGCATTCAACCATCATCTGTGATTATCTCAAAAAAACACTATTTGAAAAATATATTTGCATTCAATTCCTACCTAATCCATATCCTTTATCCATTTTGAAATGCTGACATTGTACAAGGAAAAGGTGACCACATCATCTGAAGGGCCATATTTTACATGTGAGAGACATCAGAGTTTCACTTCCTTTCTAGAACGCTGTTGTGTGTCTAAATTTTTCCTATGGGAAAGAACAGTTAAGAAGCCATGAGTAGGGGGTTGGGAGGTAGACCCACAACTGAGGGATGCGGTGAGCATTTTGGAGGGGAAGGGCATACCTCTAACCCTTGCTAGGAAGAGGCAAAGCTATAAAATGCAACCAAAATGTTTGTACTCTCATATTTTCTTGAAATAAAATGATAATAAAAAAGAAGCCATGAGTACTTAAAAAGATGTTCATGGAAATTCCTAACAGAAATAGCATTGAAAATATTTCACCCTTCTCCTATCTTTGACAACTGCAGCCATCAAAAACACTTTTAAGATTTGTTAGAACATTTGTCTCAAGGCATCAGTTGCCAGAAACTCTCTCCTACACTATGGATAATCCACAGTGAGCTGAGCCCTTTCTTCTCAACTGGCCTAACTGATGAAAAGGTCCCTAACTATGAGTGGTTGCTAAATGTGTGTGTCTAGAGTAGAAGACATTTGTAGGCAGGAAGGTTAAGAGAAGAAAGGACAAGTGAGTGAGAAGACATTATTCCTAATGCTATTCCAAGGTTAAATTTAAATCCTGCTTTGTTTAAACAATTAACTATGGGGTATTGGATCACAGAAAAAAAAGACATTCTCTTATGGGATAAGAGGAAGCTAAAATCTTTTTTGATTATGCCCTGCATTTGACTTGAGACTTCTTCATTGCTATAATAATTTATTCTTTTAACATAAACTCTGTAGGACAGGATATTGAATGAAAAAAATGACAGGAACCACAGAGGTTTTTAGGCCTCATAATTTGATGAAAACAACAAAAACAAAGTAGAGTTCAATGATTAAATAGGGAAAGGGGATTGTGTACTTTTAATATTCATTAAGGTCTAACACATCTGAACCATCATCTGCTCTTTTCTTTTTTTTTTTTTGAGACAGAGTCTCACTCTGTTGCCCAGGCTAGAGTGCCGTGGCGTCAGCCTAGCTCACAGCAACCTCAAACTCCTGGGCTCAAGCAATCCTTCTGCCTCAGCCTCTCGAGTAGCTGGGACTACAGGCATGAGCCATCATGCCCGGCTAATTTTTTTTTTTCTATATATTTTTAGTTGGCCAATTAATTTATTTCTATTTTTAGTAGAGACGGGGTCTTACTCTTGCTCAGGCTGGTCTTGAACTCCTGAGCTCAAACAATCCACCTGCCTCGGCCTCCCAGAGTGCTAGGATTATAGGTGTGAGCCACCATGCCTGGCCCCATCTGCTCTTTTCAATAGAAAGAAAAGAGGAACTGAAAGTCGTTTGGCATGGCTAGAATGTACCTGGGAGAATTAAATTTTATGCGGTATACACTTTACAGCTGTTATATCTTGGAATCCTGACAACAACACATTGAGATAGGTACTGTTTCTGTTTGCTGGAGATACTGAAACTTACACATCACACAGCTGGCGTGTGGAGGGGCCCAGCTATGACCTCAGATCAGTCTGACACCAAGACCATACCTCTGTGCATAATGTGTGGTGGAAGTTGAAATGGACCAGTCATATGATGACCAGATGATGAAAGATCAAAATGCTATGATATGGGACTTGAACACTATTCTATAAGCCAGTATAGTTTAATAGGTATATAATGCAGGCCACAAATGTGAACCACATAAATAATTTTAAATACTGTAGTAGTCATAATTAAAAAATAAATAAAAAGAAACAGGTGAAATTGGTTTTAATATATTAAGTAAATATTTAACAAAGATATAAAAAATAATGATATATTTTATGTTCTTTTTATCAGACTAAGTCTTAGAAATCTAGCATACATTTACTTTTGCACACTTCAATTCAGATTAGCTACATTTCAGGCACTCAAGAGCCACATGTCGCTGGTTGCTACTGTATTGGACAGCACGGTCATAAATAATAGAAAGTGACTTGATGAGAATTAAGCTTTAGAATGACTTATCAGACAGCATTGTGAAGGGTGACTCAGAGGATGACAAGACAGAAGGCAGAGAAATTTTTAAGTGCATTACATATAAAGTCATATTAAGTAGCACATGAAGACCTGAACTAACGGGAGAACAGAGTGAGTAGAGAAGATGGATATTTTGAAGGTATTAATACAGCCAATGGGACTTAGCTGGCTGGGTGGGTAGTGAGATTAAGAGGAAAGGAAGCAGCCTAGATGATCAGCGATAAACAAGTTTGAGAAAATGTGATCTATTTGAGATGCCTAAGAAATATCTAAATAGAGATAACCAATAAGAAGCTAGAAATATGGGTCTGGAACCCATAGATGAAGTCTGAGCTAAAACTAAAAATTTGGGTGTCATCAGAAAATGGATGAGATTACCCTAAAATAGAGGAGGGGGTAAAGGATGCAATTCCAGAGGACCACAACTTTTAAGATAAAGTTTTAAAAATTCATAAGTAAAAATTATAAATATTTATACTGTGCAACATGATGTTTTGATATATATATACATTGTGGAATGACTAAATCAAGCTATTTAACATATGGATTATCTCATTTCTCATTTTTTTTGGTGGTGAGAACACTTACAATCTCTCGGCAATTTTCAAATACACAATGTATTGTTACTAACTATAGTCACCATGATATATAACAGATCTCTTGAACTTATTCTCCTGTCTAAAGTTTTGTGTCATTTGACCAGTATGTCCCTAATCCTCCCACCCCTGGAGGACCTCAACTTTTAGCAGGTAATCAGGAGGAGAAGAAGTGCAGAGAATACCAAGAAGGAATTTTTAGAGCTATAGAAGTACAAGCAGGAAAGAACAACAGCACAAGTGAATTTTATGTATCCTTATAAAAATGAAAATTATAAAGACTATGTATAAAAATAAATATATGTCAACAAGTAAAAAGACAAGAATACAAAACATTATGTATTTATGCCTTATATAAATAATATGTAAACATAAAAATTGTATAATATACATGGATAGTTTTATTAAAATTCTTTAATGCTATTATATTGTGATTAGACTAAAAGACAGAAAACACAAATATGACATAGAGAGGAATTAAAAAGAAATCCCTTTGCTTAATTTAGCTGTTGCTACCTGACAACACTTATCAAAATATTATTATGCTAGATCACTGTTTCTTAGTCATTTTTCATTATTGTCCTCCTTCCCACCCTTTGAGCCTTTTAGACAATTTTTCCTAATGTCCCCCCACTGTTAAAATTTAATGCCATAGATATATATTGTATCTGTTTATGTACTGTGGCCCTTTGGAGGGCTACAAACCATTGTAATGTTTAAAGTTTTTCTTCTACCCACCTTCCCAGGAACCATACTCATCCCTTTTGGGGTGACATTATTCCTGCTGAAAATGCATGTGCTAAACAGTGGTGCTAAAAAAAATTTCTTTGTAAACATCAGTGATGTATTAAAGAAAGGAAATGTAGGCTTCAGTCCCCTATTACCTTTTCATTTGCTCCATGATAAATTTCAAAGGAGCTGAGTGATTTCCATGAAATGTCTAACCTTACTGAATCAAGGTTTTACGAATACAATCATAGGATGGATTTATATTTCAGTTAGTCTGCCTAAAACAAAATGGAAGCCAACAAGATCATTCAAAAGAAGTTATCTCCCAAAGCCTCTGTACTTTAAAAGGATAAAAAAAAAAAAAAAAAAAAAAAAGAAGTTATCTTTCATTTTGAATGAATTTCAGTGAAATTTGGTAGGTGATTGAACTTGAGGTTGACAGTTCACTTAGAATATCCAAGTTCATAGAAGCGTTAATTCTTACTTAGATGTGATTAGTAGTGAGTAGATTTTATTTTTTGTCTGAGTTCAAACTCACAAAAAAAATATTTTAAGTGTTTTGCTTTCATTGAAAAAGAAAATTATTCAACACATGTACAAAAAATGTGGGTTTTTATTTTTACAACTTACAATACCTATTTTACTGAGTGAAAGAATATCAAGAGGAAATTTGGTAATGCTTTTTAGCTGCTAAAATGATAATATTACAGGCATGTCTTCGAGGTAACAATTGAGAGGCAACTTTCTAATCAGCTTGAAATTAGTTACAGACAATTCTAAGGACCTAGGCAGACTGCATGCAGTCTATGGGCTCTGTATGAGCTGCTTATCATCAGATAAAACAAAAGGTACAAGTAGTACCTTCTTTCTCATGCATCCCACAATATTTGTCATTTAGTGGATCCTGAATGACTGATGATCTCAATTTTCAGTATCAACATTTACCTGTGTTGTGTTGACTTGATTTCCCCAAAAGAATCTGGAGATGCTACAGATTAAAATTAGCACTAGGTAAATTAATTATTTCTGCTACATCTTTGTGCAAGCTTATTCCCCATTGGCTAGCACCTACTTGAAACAATTCTCTATG